CGAGAAAGTGCCACGCCTGCTATGCCAGGACGACCGGCGCGTATAGAGACCGCAGCGAGAGACCACCCCCTGCGCACCCCCTATGGTGTCGAGAAAGTGCCACGCCTGCTATGCCAGGACGACTGGGGCGTATAGAGACCGCAGCGAGAGACCACCCCCTGCGCACCCCCTATGGTGTCGAGAAAGTGCCACGCCTGCTATGCCAGGACGACTGGGACGTATAGAGACCGCAGCGAGAGACCACCCCCGGCGCACCCCCTATGCGCCACCCTGCCTATTATAGAGTGAGAGACCACCCCCTGCGCACCCCTATGGTGTCGAGAAGTGCCACGCCTGCTATGCCAGGACGACTGGCGTATAGAGACCGCAGCGAGAGACCACCCCCTGCGCACCCCCTATGGTGTCGAGAAAGTGCCACGCCTGCTATGCCAGGACGACCGGCGCGTATAGAGACCGCAGCGAGAGACCACCCCCTGCGCACCCCCTATGGTGTCGAGAAAGTGCCACGCCTGCTATGCCAGGACGACTGGGGCGTATAGAGACCGCAGCGAGAGACCACCCCCTGCGCACCCCCTATGGTGTCGAGAAAGTGCCACGCCTGCTATGCCAGGACGACTGGGACGTATAGAGACCGCAGCGAGAGACCACCCCCTGCGCACCCCCTATGGTGTCGAGAAAGTGCCACGCCTGCTATGCCAGGACGACTGGGACGTATAGAGACCGCAGCGAGAGACCACCCCCTGCGCACCCCCTATGGTGTCGAGAAAGTGCCACGCCTGCTATGCCAGGAGGACGACTGGGACGTATAGAGACCGCAGCGAGAGACCACCCCCTGCGCACCCCCTTATGGTGTCGAGAAATGCCACGCCTGCTATGCCAGGACGACTGGGACGTATAGAGACCGCAGCGAGAGACCACCCCCTGCGCACCCCCTATGGTGTCGAGAAAGTGCCACGCCTGCTATGCCAGGACGGGACGTATAGGACTAGCCCCCAAGCTGCCTGCGCACCCCCTATGGTGTCGAGAAAGTGCCACGCCTGCTATGCCTGGACGACCGGCGCGTATAGAGACCGCAGCGAGAGACCACCCCCTGCGCACCCCCTATGGTGTCGAGAAAGTGCCACGCCTGCTATGCCAGGACGACCGGCGCGTATAGAGACCGCAGCGAGAGACCACCCCCTGCGCACCCCCTATGGTGTCGAGAAAGTGCCACGCCTGCTATGCCAGGACGACTGGGCGTATAGAGACCGCAGCGAGAGACCACCCCCTGCGCACCCCCTATGGTGTCGAGAAAGTGCCACGCCTGCTATGCCAGGACGACTGGGACGTATAGAGACCGCAGCGAGAGACCACCCCCTGCGCACCCCCTATGGTGTCGAGAAAGTGCCACGCCTGCTATGCCAGGACTGGGAGGACTGTGTCGTCTTGTGTGTGCGAGTGTGTGCATGCGTGCGGCTGTATGTAGACGCGTGTCGCCGAGACGTGCTGTGCTGTGCTCTGCTGAGCTGTGCTGTGCTGTCCTATGCTGTGCTGCGGTCTGCTGTGCTGTGCTGTGCTGTGCTGTGCTGTGCTGAGGAGGAGGAGGAGGAGGAGGAGGAGGAGGAGGAGGAGGAGGAGGAGGGGAGGAGGGCGCGGGTGTGAGACGCGGGCGCGGCGCGGCAGGGAAGAAAACCAGAACCCCACGAAGCATGTGGGGAATAATGGCATTCAACGGTGTGGCCCTCTGCTGCGAATCCCCTCCGCAAGCTTTTTGGAATTATGTTAAGGCCTCTTGGTGGTCTCTTGTGGCGTCTTCAGGGCTCTTCGGTCAACTTGAACACCCTTTGCGAAGCTCTGATATCTTTGAGCGTGTTCGACACCTCTTAGACCGTCATCGGCGCATCGCAGTCCTCTTTTGGCCCGTTTTCATGATCTCGATGCCCCCCCACCGTGGGCTGGTCAATCCGAATCGCGATGCGCCTCTAAGAGGCCGAGAACTTCGCGAACTTACCCGTGAAAGGCGCCTCGCATTAACGCTCGCTGAACAGGTTCCCAAGAGGCCTCCTATGGCATCCCGACAGACGCCCCACATTCTTCTCCAGGACATCGCACGCACGGCGGCATGACAACCGCAAGCCCGCAGCTCTCTGTAATCCGTTCCATGCATTTTCTCCGTTGTCGACTTAGACTTCCTCGTGAGAGGGCAACCACCACGGCCGCGCTTGCGCGGTGTTGCCCCATTTGTCGCGACAGCCGTGTGACCTCTTCTAATCGGTTGGGGTTACCAGTGCCAGTCTTCGCGCCCACCCTCCCCCTCCGCGACAGTGCCACCACGCGCGGCCGTGGAGAATATCTTGCTGCCTCTGCTGTTCTCCCAGTAACGTTCGACTGCCATTTCCTCATCCTTATGCTTGTGCTCTGGCTCTTCCGCTGGCCGATGGCCCTCTTCACATCCATTCCGCTGTTTTTTTCGATCTGCTCTCCCCTTTCCGTATCCATGTGCTGGCCGCCATCCAGTCCTTGTTTTTGAGCCTGCTTTGATATTGCGTTTCTGTGCGCATCATCCTTTATCCTTCAACTTCCTTCCTTCTCTCCTCTGGTGCGTCTCGCGTCTTGTGTTTCGCTTCCCGTTCTTGTCTGGTCAGGTTTTGCCGCAAAGTGCATGTTGCATTGTTTTCTGATAGGGATGACGGGGGGGCGCACCGTCCCGGGTGGTTTGTCACCGGTCAAATGGGGGAGGGGGTGCAGTGCGATAACGAGCAGTGATCTAGTTGCCAACCCCGAAGGACGGCCGCGTCGCTCATTCCCGCCCGCCCACCCACCACGTAAATAGCACCAGATGCTCAGCATGAGTTGGGGACGCCTTCGACAGCCATCGGAAACAAGTGCAGACGCGATAACGAGCAGTGATCTAATTGGCCACCCCGAAGGACGGCCGCGTCGCTCATTCCCGCCCGCCCTCCCACCACATAAGCACCAGATGCTCAGCATGAGTAGGGGACGCCTTCGACAGCCATCGGAAACCAATGCAGACGCCAGACCTCCTCTTCCTCCTCCTCCTCCTCCTCCTCCTCCTCCTCCTCCTCCTCCACCTCCTCCTCCTCCTCCTCTTCCCCCTCCCCCTCCTCCTCCTCCTCCTCCTCCTCCCCCTCCTCCCTGTCAAGTATCAATACAGAGTGATCGCGGGGCGCCCGAGCAGGATCAATGTGTTGTCGCAAAGTGTTGTTGTTCCCCACTTCTCTTTGACAGGGATGATGGACCTGCGCACGGCAGGCAGTGCGCCGTCCCCCCCCTCGCCCCTGCCAAGCTGCCAAGCAATAATGCAGAGTGATCTTTCGGTGTCCGCGCAGGATCCTGATTTTGCCGCAGAGTGCGCCTTATATGTCCCAACCATCCTGGGGCCTTCGCTTTGAAGACACAGCGCCCCGCGTCACCTTCTCCTGCCCTCCTTCCGCTCCTCCCTCCTCCCATCCGTGCCCCTGCCCTCCGCACCAGTCAGCCATGTCGGCACACCCCTTTCACGCTTCGCGTCCCCATAGAGAGCTCCGCGGAAGTCCCCAGTGGCAGGGACCGCATAAAGTTCCACCTCCATTTCGGCGCACCGCTCGCACGCTTCGTGGCCCAATAGGGTGCTCCACCGAAGGCCCCAATGGCAGGGTACGCATGCAGTTCCACTTCGATTTTGGCGCACCACTCACACGTTTCGAGGCCCCTTAGCGTGCTCCACCGAAGTCCCCAGTGGCAGGGTCCGCATGCAGTTCCACCTCCGTGTCGGCGCACCGCTCACACGTTTTGTGGCCCAATAGGGTGCTCCACCGAAGGCCCCAATGGCAGGGTCCGCATGCAGTTCCACTTCAATTTCGACCCACCGCTCACACGCTTCGAGGCCCCATAGCGTGCTCCACCGAAGGACCCAATGGCAGGGTCCGCATGCAGTTCCACCTCCAAACGGCGCACCGCTCACACGTTTCGTGGCCCCATAGAGAGTTCCACCAAAGGCCCGAATGGCAACTCCCGCACGCGGTTCCACCCTGCATGTCGGCGCACCCCTCACACGTTCCGTGCCCCCACAGGGGGCTCCACCGACGGCTCCAGTGGCAGCGCCCACACGGCGTACCCGTGCCCATTTTGGCACACCTGTCACACGCGTCGTGGCCCCATAAAAAGGTTACCGAGGACGATACAGTGGGGGCGCGCATCAAGAAACCATATGCTTTTCGTCAGGGTATCCTGGGTTTCGCTCCGCGCGCTGCGCGGCGACCTCCCGCGGCCGTTGAAGGAGCTGCTGCGTTCAGAGTGCTCCAGGTTTCCCCTCTGGTGCACTTCGCGCGCGGGTTTTCAGGGTTGGGTTTCTTGCGAGGATTTCTTGCGGCCGCTCTCGCACTGTACCCAAAACTGCGTGGCTCACAAGTGCACGTGGTTGGGTCCTTCGCCAGGATCATTTTTTGATAGGAGCGGCGGGGGGGTGTTGGCCTGTTTCCAGGTTCGCTCGCCGGTCGGATAGGGGAGGGGATGTGCACCAATAAAGAAGTCGAGTTATCGACCAGAACGTCACAAGCTGTCTCGCTCACGCCCACTCGCCCTCACACCATATAAGGAGCGCCAGACGCACAGCATGGACAGAGGTCGCCATCGGACGGACAGCCACTGGGGACCAATCGAGACACCGGGTGCATGACGCTCGTGGAGCGCGCCACGCACACCAGGTGCGCCCGGTGACCCAGGGGCCCAAGCGTGTCAGGCGCGCCAGACGGGCCACGTGCGCCACGTGTGCCACGTGCTCCAGCCCCGCGAGGTGTGCCACGTGCGCGACGCGCGTGGAGCGCGCCGGGCGGCGATTGGTGCGCCAGCTCACGTGACAGAACGCATCGGGTAGTACGTCCGCACCCATCAGTCCTGGTACGTACTCATGTTGTGCAATCGTGGACGAGGACAGGGAGGCCTCCACGCTCCACGCCCCAGGGCGATGCGACCCCCCGTGCTCCCCCTCCCTTCGTGGGGCCCCCCTCCGTGCCAGAGGCATGCTGTGCTGGCTGCAGCGCTGGCACCACGAGCGGGAGGAGAGGCGCTGCTGGGCGCAGCAGGTGATGCTGGAGAAGAGGAGCGGCCCTGGGCGCCGGGCCAAGCGGAGCGGAGCAGGTCGCCCGCAGGGGCGCGAAGGCTGCCGCGCTCCGCGGCACGCGCCAAGGCTGCTGCACCTCTCCACCGGGGGGGGGAGGGGGCGGCGCGCGGGGCGCGAAGATGACGGCGCCTCGCGCGGCGCTTCAAGCCCAGAGGCGGGTGACCCCAGAGGGAGGAGCGACGCCGCCGCGGGCCAGCACGGCTCTGCGGTGCGCCACATGGGGCGACCGCGGCGCGGGGCGGTGCCCCCACAGGCGGGCTTCGGGGATCTCCCAGGCCGTGCGGTGGCCAAGCCGAGCGGTGGGTGAGTAGGGATCCGGGCTGCACGCACGGGTTTGGGACTTGGGCCGTTCTCCGAGGAAGTCTCGGGCGGTCCCATGGCCGTGCTGTGGCGGACGGTGCGGTGAGGCCTTTGGGGGTTGCGAGGTCACCGAACGATCTGTCACCGCATCGTTTTGGGACCCCCACGGGCATCATCGTCTTCGTCGTCGTTCTCCCCCCTCTCTTCTGTGCCTGCAGGAGCGACAGCGTTCGAACCCTGCGGTCCGAGCATGCGGCGTGAAAAAGGAAATCCCTGGCGGTTTAGTGACATCCCCAGAAAAGGAGCCGAATCCCCAGAGAGGTTTTCGTATAGCCGGTACAGTCGAAGCAGTCGTGGTTGTGATAGCTTGGGCCTCCCGAGTGGCCTCTTGGGGCTCTCGAGGGGTTCCCCGGCGCGTCTGTCCGAGGAGCACCGCTCAGCAGCCACCCCCCCCCCAATCCCCTGCCATCCCCCCGTCCCCCGCGACCCCCCTTTGTTTCCCCCCGCGTCTCCTTTCCTGCCCCCTTGTGTGGATTACACAATGGGAATACGGTTCGCCTCTTTACCCCGAAGACGGCGGTGAGATGTCCTGGCCGCCTCCGCGTATTGTCTTTTACACACCCGATGCCGCCGAAGTGATCATTTATTTGTGTGTATGCTCCCATCCGAACGTCTTCAGTCCTTTCAGAATGGCGCTCCTGCTACAGCGTTGGCTCCATGTTCCCATTCTCGGTCCTGCCAAATCATGTTCCCGTTGTAGCGCTGACCTCGTTTCACTGTTTCGGCTCTTCGAAATCGTGCTCCTGCAGCAGCATTGGCTTCGTTTCCGCGTTTCCAGTCCTTCCAAATCTTGCTCCCACTGCAGCGCTGGTCTCATTTACGCGGTTTCGGTCCTTCGAAAACGTGTATCCCCCTTGCAGCGTTGATCTCATGTTGCGCCTCCCGCTTTCCAAACCGTCCATTTGCATGTCCCGTCTTGAGTCACGTCTGGTTTCCTTCTGACCTCGTCGCCGAAATTAGTAGCGTTCTCGACACGATGCTATCCTATGCCGTTCTATACCATGCGTCGCGTACTCTCTCGGGGTCGTTGCCCTGTTCGACATCCGACTGTTCGGATAGAGAGGATACTTCTGCAATGGTCAGGGATGGGAGGGAGGGGCATGACGTCAGATATGACGCTTGCGCACCTAGCTTGGCCACACTCCCCTCTCCCCCCTTCCTCTGCTCCAGCCCCCATTGCCCCCTGTCATATCCTCCCAACCCCCGTCTGCTCACCCAAGGAGTCACAAGGTGGGCGGAGGGAAGACGTCGGGAAGATGTCGTGGGATGGTTGTAGAAGACCCAGACCTCTGGCGTCGTGATCGTTCACGAGGTGGGCCCCAGATCGGTCCCAACGTTTCCGATTTCGACGACCATGTCCCTGGGGCCCATCTTTCGCCTCAGGCAGTATCATGAGGAAACACCTGTGTGGTAAAATGTCGAGCGAAGGTGCGGCCATGCTAGTGGACTCGTGTTCCCCCAGCGCATGGGGGACCACTGAAGGAGCAGTGGGAAGGGTCTGCTGCGGTCCGACAGTGGAAACCCATGTCAAGAAACACCCTGCTTGCCTCCAGGGAGCCCTGGGTCTATTGGGTTTCGATGGCTCTTACTATGGAAAGCGTGACGCTCCAACACCACAAATCAACGGACGTCCTAGGGTCTCAGGGTTGGGTTTCTTGCGGGTGGTTTCTCAGGGCTGGACCTAAACGCTACTTTGCTGATCTTCGGCTGTGGTTTGTTTTTCGTTTTGGCAGGGAGGTACAGAAAAACAGGCAGGTAGAGCAAAACGAAAAACAAAACGAAAACAAAACGAATAACAACGTTTAGGTCCAGCCCTGAGATATCCTTGTAGTCGAGCTCCTATTGTTTTTGGGACTCTCGTGGGGCTCTCTTGGGCCGTTTTATAGAGCACTCTCGGGCCGTATGGCGCTGTCGGAGACTGTGCTGGAGGCCTGCCTGGACTGTCTCGGGGACCTCCCTGGGCTCTTCAGAGCCGTCTTGGGATTCTCGTGGGCCACATTGGTTGCCTTGGGGCTGGAGGCCGTCTTGAGTCCCTCTTGGAAGCCTATTCCGCTGTCTTGGGGCGATCATGGGGCCTCTTGCGCCTTCTCGGTATTTCCGAAGCGCCTGCAAAGGCGGGAACGTGAGAGCCATTGAAAGACTGCAGGAGGAACAATGATTTTGGCCTCTTGGAAATCCTCTTGGAGACCTGTTTGGGGCGTCTTGGAGACGTCGTGGGCGGTCTTGAAGCCATGTTGGGCCATCCTGGGCCGCCTTGTAGGCATATTGGAGCCGTTTTGGGTTCGCTTGGGGACATCTTGGCCGTTGGGGAGGCGATGTTAAACGTGACAGCCATATTAGGTCCCACCTTTCATGGTCCTTTCCGGGTGGCCTGCGGGTTGGGCTGGTGGACAAAAGATTTCTCAGAGGCCTTTTGGGGCCCCTTGAAGATCATCCTTGTGGCTCACTGGGGGCCTCTTGGGAGCCTCTGGGGGGCACCCTGGGTACCCCTGGGGGGCTCCGTGGGGGCCTGGAGGTGCCCTCGGCCAGCGCACCCGGCAGGCCTGCCCAGCGGCTTCATCCAAGGCCTGCCTCGCGCTGTGACAGCTCACCCGAAGCACAGCCACGAAGGCACGGCGAGCACCCGCGGCCGCGTGGCCGGCAGCACCGGGGGGGGAGGGCGATCCGAGAGGGACGTTTGGGATACCGGCCCCTTGGGGGGGAGACATCGCCGGCAGACCGGCGGTGTCGGCGTCACCCCAACATACCGATCCGTAAGGGCTTCGCCCCCTGCCGCCGGCCCCCTCTCTCGGAGAATGGGCCATGGAAGAGCTAAGTCATGAGGCCTTGGCGCTGTCGTGAAGCAGTATCGAAACTTCATGCGAAGCCGATTCGCAATCAGCAAAACCAACTGATCACAAGAGGGGTTACCACACCTGGCGATTGGTAAGACGTGTATGGTTTACGGGCTTGGTTACCACACCTTGCGATTAAAGGGCCGAGGGAGTCACTATCCAGAGGACCGACAGGAAACTTCCCAGGACTCACGGGGGAAGGTTGGAAGACCCCCAAGGCGGTCCCGAACTTTGAGGGCTGGGGCTTTTGAACATGACGATCTTGGCTGTAGCAGCAATGCAGGCGTGAGCCTTGGGGCGCTCCATCTCGCGCCAGAGACAGGGTTGCAGAAATTGTCAAATTACAGGAGGCGGGCTGCGCCCGGGAATCTGCGGCTTTGTCAGCCAGGCCCGCGCGTTTTCCCAGAATTACAAGAGGGTGGCTCGTCCGCGCCATTCCCCCCTCGTCGTCCGTCGCCGTCTGCTTGTACTTGCCGCCGTCCGCCATCGCCGCCGCCGTCGTAATCGCAGCCAACGGCTTCGACATTCTCAATTGCCAGCGTCGTCAGCGTCGCTTTCGTTTTCCCGCCGTGCGTCCCCACGGTTGCCAGCCCCATCGTCGTCGCCGCGGCTCTCTGTCGTCGTCGAGCGTGACTGAACGCCAAGGTGTCCATGCTGGGCCCACAACGAAGAGCCCTTGTAATGAGTGCCTCATCCCTGGCAGGCCCGCCCCGCCCCACGCGCTGGCGCCCCCCTCTTCCCTGGGCCAGATCCCACCCTGGCGACGGGGAAAACGGAGCCGATGGCGCGGGCAGTCGCGCGCTGCTTGTCCACGCAGGGTCGCGCGCGCGCACCCCTAGTGCCCAATGTGGCGCGCCGCGCTGGCGGCCCGCGTAATATGCCGCGGTGCAAGGGCGCCATGTCTTCTTGGGTCGGATCGTTTTTGTCGCCCACGCGGCCCCATGTTGGAAACGGCCGCTCCCGCGGCGTTCCCGGCGCCCCCCTCCGGGAACGGAGAATCCATGCACAGGGCGCCCCCCTCCCGCGAGCCAATTCCCACCGATGGGAATAGCCCGCACAAGCCCAGGTGGGAACAGCCCGATGCGGACATGTGCGGGGGGACGCCATGTGGTCATCACTTCAAATGAGCCCATAGGTGGAACCTCCTGGAGTGCAGGAAACGTGTGAGAGATGCGCCGACGTGGGGCGGGGGGGGCGCCGTGTGGCCACCCTGCTTGGGCCACAGGTGCAGCCTCCCATGGGGGCAGGAAGCGCGTCAAGGTCGCGCCGCAATAGGCGGGGGTCGCCATGTGGCCACTTCGATGGAGCCAAAGGCGGAGCCTGCTATGGGGGCAGGAAACGTGTGAACGTTGCGCCGACATGGGCGGGGGGAGCCATGTGGTCACCCCCGCCGGGGCCTCAGGTGGAGTCTCCTGGGGTGCGGGAAACGTGTAAGGGGTGCGCGGGCATGGGCGGTCGGGCGCCATGTGGACTTGCCGCTTGGACCACAGGAGCAGCCTCCCATGGGGGCAGGAACGTGTGAATGGTGCGCCGAAATGGGAGGGGGACGCCATGTGGTCACCCCCACCGGGGCCATAGGTGGAGCCTCCTGGGGTGCATGAACCGTGCGAGGGGTGCGCCGACATGGGCGGGGGGCGCCATGCGGTCACGCCGCGTGGGCCACACGTGCAGCCTCCCATGGGGGCAGGAAACGCTTGAAGGGTGCGCCGAAATGGGCGGGGGGACGCCATATGGCCACCTCGATGGAGCCAAAGGCGGAGCCTCCTATGGGGGCGGGAAACGGGTGAGGGGTGCGCCGGCATCGGCGGGGGTGGTCACCCCCGCCGGGGCCATAGGTGGAGCCACCCATGGGGGTAGGAAGCGTGTGAGTGGTGCGCGGGCATGGGCGGTCGGGGGCCACGTGATCACCCTGGTGAGGCCATATGTGGAGCTACCCACTGGGGCAGGAAGCGGTTGAGGGGTGCGCGGACATAGGCAGGGGGACATTATGTGCTCACCCCGTTTTGGCCACAGGTGGAGCCTTGAGGAGTGCCCGAAGTGGGTGCGGGGGGGCGCAATGTGGTCACAGGGCAGGGCACGTGTGATGGTGTACGCTGACGGAGGCGGGGGAACGCCGTGTGGTCACCCCTCAAAGGGGCAAAGGCGGAGCCTCCCATTGGAGCAGGAAACGCGTGGGGGGTGCGCGGGCAGGAAGAACAGAAAGAAGCCATTGATTTTCCAAACTTGGTATCGCTCGGACGTGTGCATTTGTTTTCGGCGAGAACCACCGAGGACCATCCTGGACCGTCGAGCAAAAAAACACGCACGAAACCGAAAACAATACACAGGAAATGGACGTCCGAGCGACGGCAAGCAAAGGAAACCTATGGATTCCCCAAAGAAGATTAAAACATGCCAAAGGATTCCCATGTATTTCCTACGAAGGCCAAAGGGTGTCCAAAGGAATGTTATGGATGCGCCAAGGGTTCGTAATACATGCACGAAGGAACCCAATGGATTTCCTTAGGAATATCATGGGTTTTCCTATGGGATTCTTATGGATTTCCGAAGGAACCCCGTGGATTGCCAAAAGAATCCGGTGGATGTCCTGCGGAACCCCATGGGTTCCCGAAGGGATCTCATGGATGTCCGAAGGACTCCTATACATTGCTTTACAACCGTACGATTTTCATATAGGAACCCTATGAGTGTCCCACGGAATAGCATGGCTTTCTTGAGAAACCTCATGGGGTTTTCAGATGCCCTGGGGAATCCCATGGAATTCCGGAGGAATCATCCCCTGCAGGATCGCTTGGTTTCCCCCGGAACTCTTACGGGACCCTTTCTATGGGTTCCCGAACTCCTTGCGCGCCGAGCCCGAGGTTGTTTGCCCCCCCCGTTTTTTGTTGTTTTTTGTTTTTTTTGTTTGTTTTTGTTTCTCCATTGTTTCTTTTATTTCTCTCTCTCTCTCTCTCTCTCTCTCTCTCTCTCTCTCTATATATATATATACTAAAACAATTAAGTTTCCCGCCAATGAACCGCCATGGACTCCCCACGCATGCGCCATTGTAAATGATTCAAATGAATTGAATTTTTAGAAATGCACAACTTTTCGTCCCGAAATGCAGATTGGTCTGGAAGCTGGCCCTGGGATCTTCCTTCTTCTTATGATTTGTTTGAAGGGTCCCTGAACATGGTCTAGGGTCCAAGGCAAGTTATTGATTTCTTCGGGAATCCCATGGCTGCTCTTAATAAGCCGCCGAATATCTTAGGAGACCCGACGGATGTCTGAAGGACTTCTAAAGATTGCAGCAACGGCCCCGTGGTTGTCCTGAAACCCACGGTTTTCTGTAGGGGAGCCGATGGGTATCCTGAGGGACCCCCCCGGATTTCTTAAGATACCGCAGCCGCAGGTTCGTGCGGCGGGCGGCGAGGGGCAAGATATTTTCGCCGAGCAGAGAACCAGCGCGAGCGCGGTCAGCGTCGACGCCGCCGCGCTCTGTTTCGAGCTCCGCGTCGAGGAGCGCGCGTTCATCCACGAGAGCGAGATCCATGCCGCAGGCGCCAAGAATCGCATCGATTAGCTCCGCGAGAAGTTCCGCGAGACGCAGGGCGAGAGTGACGAGGCAGTTTTCGAGCTAGCCAAGTACCCGGCATAGCACCCCGACGAGAAGCAGCAAGTGGACCAGGCTTACTCGCGCGCAGGGGGCAAGCGCATGATCACCTTCATCAACATCTCCGCCGTCGCGGGCTGGTTCGACCCGAGCTGGCGCCCTAAGTCCGCTGAAAAGCGCGGCGCGCCCCTCGCCCCCTGCGCCGAGCAGTGCCTGGTGAGCGACGTGAGTCTCGAGACGGGCACCTGGCGGCGCGACGTCACCTGCGAGCGGAGCGACGGGGGGGCAGAGTACTTCTGGGCGCGCTGCTCAGAGGCTGGCGCTACAATCTGCTCGAGTTGTCCGAGGGCCGCGCGAGGGTCTGCGAGGCCATCGATGCGCGGGGGCAGCCGAGGGCCTGGGCGGACGAGCTCTTCGCGAGCTGGACCATCGACTTCGTTTATAAGCAGCGCGGCCGGGGCCTCGCGTTCGCCGACTGCTTGTCGAGCCAGTGGGCCGAGGCCGCCACGCCCCGAGCGTGGCTCGAGAATGCGCAGTGGCCCCCGACGCCGCGAGCGTCCTGCAGGAGCCCGACGCCCGCGAGCACGGCCAGCTCAAGGCCGCGATCCGAGGGGCCAAGACCGAGACGCAGCGGGCCACGGGGGAAGATTGGACCCGGAAGGCGAAGGCCGAGCGCGAGAATAAGTACAAGTTACAAGTGCCCAAGCAAGTGGGCCGTGCAGCGCCTCTATTGCACTTCCGAGGCCCGCGCCCGCTGCCGCGACGAGAACAAGGAGGCGGCGCCGCTCCAAAAGCCGCGTGCGAACCAGATGCTCGTGCTCTGGCCGACCCCGAGCAGGGCGAGCTCGGGCCCGTCGCGGGCCTGGAGCCCTGGAGCTACTCCATGGAGACGGGCCGCAGCATCGAGCCGGGGCTGGCGAGCGAGCGCCTGCCAGCGCTGGCCCGAGAACGCGCCGCCGATCCCCGAGTGCGGCGCCCATCGACGGCGACTGCTTCCGGTTCTAGGCTTCGCCCGGGGATTGGAAGGGCGACGAGAATCAGGAGGGGAAAAACACACAGACACAATTAATCGTCGATTCTTCTGAAAATATAGGAAAATCTGGGAAGTGGGGGGGAGACAAAAACACAGAAAATATGCAAAAAGATTGAGAATCCTATTATTTGCCCATATTTATTTGTGTGTCCCGGGGCTCCTTCAGAGAACCCTGCCTCCCGGGGCTCCGAGGCGCGGGCCTCGAGCTCACCGACGAGCAGGGGAACTTGCTCGGGCCGCTAGAGGAGCGGACCTAGGAAATCCAGTTCCCGCGCGCACTCGAGAACCGACTCTACGCGATCCGCAGCAGCAACGAAAAGAGAGGGTGGGCGGCCGAGTTCGCGGGCCAGTCTGAGGGCAAGTTGCAGCGCAATTGGCAGCGCAAGACAAACGAGACCGGCGACGAGGCCTCGCTCCAGCGCCCGAGCCGAGGCGCGGCCAAGGCGCAGCTCACTGGCAGAGCACCGGAGGCCAGAACGGGCTTCCGCGAGAAGTTCAGGGCCAAGACAAGGTCGAGTGCCCACGCGAAGCAAGTGGGCAAGTCCAGGAAGAAGTCGGGCCTCGAGGCTTGCGAGGGCCCCCCCCCGGCACCGAGCGCGCGAGGCGGGCGCCCCCGGCGATTTCCCAGATCGACATCGTCGAGGCGCGGGGGCTCAAGGGCAGGAGGAAGAGGAGGAGGAGGCAGTGGAAGAGGAGGGGGGGAGGAGGACGAGGAGGAATATCCTGAAGAAGATGATTATGATAATGATTTGGATGATGCTGCCGATATGACGATGATGATGATGATGACGAGGAAAGTGAGGACGAGGCTGGCGCTGATGCCTTCTCGGGCCCTTGGCGGCGATCCAGGGGCGTTCGGGGGTCGACGCCTCTCCTCCTCCTCCTCCTCCTCCTCCTCCTCCTCCTCCTCCGCCTCCTCCTCCTCCTCCTCCTCCGCCTCCTCCTCCTCCTCCTCCTCCGCCTCCTCCTCCTCCTCCCCCTTCTCCTCCTCCTCCTCCTCCCTATCCTCCTCGCCCCCTGGCGCAGGACTCGGGCCGAACGAAGCGGTGCTGTTCCGGCCCCGGGGCAAAAGCGGTGCTGGGCTGGGCAGGCACAGAGATGAGACCCTCGTACTGTACCTCACAGAGCCCTCTTCGGCCCGATGAGCTACGAGGAATGCCTCGTGGAGCTCCTTGGCGGACCGGAGCTAGAGGAATTCGAGTGCAGGGCGGCGGGGGGGGGGGAGAGGGAAAGGGGGGTGCTAGGAAACCTGCTGCATGCAGCTGGTTTCGGCCCCGCCGCCAGGCCCGCTCCTCGATTTCATGGGCGCCTCCCGGCGCCAGGAGGCGCCAGGCGAGCCAGCCACGCGAGCTGATGCTCTACCCTGCCCGTTGCTGCCCTGCCCTGCCGCGCCCCTCCGGAGGACCATGGAGCAGGAGAGGGCGCACGACAGGATCAAGAGCGTCATGGAGGCGCAGGCGCAGCTCGAGGAGCTCTCCAAGGCCTCGCCCAAGAGGCGCACCCCCCTCCGCGCCCCGCGGGCGCGCGGACTCTCCAGGGTTGCCCCCGGGTACGGCGGCCAGAATTGGCGGAAGAAAGAGTTGCGTGAGCATCTTAGCTGATGCACCCGATGCGCCCGCTTTGAGCCGCAGTACACGCCGTGTTCAAGACGTCCTTGCTGACACGCTGCGTCTTGGCTCGGCACGTGTTGGCCCACGTTTTGGCGAACGGAACGCGCACGGAACGCGCCAGACCTTTGTTTTTTGAGTCTGCGCGTTGAGCTCCGTGTCAACACGCTACGGGTTGCGTGTTGCGCATCGGGGCAGCCAAGCCTCTGCGTGGTGGTGCTCGGGTTGGCCGCTTCAAGCAGCATCCGCCTAACACCATTCTGACGCAGCCCGCCTTGCGGCTGCAAGCCGAAGAGGGCGTTCGAGGGTGCCACGGAGTTCCACCTGCGGCCCCCCAGCTCCGCGCCAGTCTCTTGGATCTGCGCAGGTCCCCCCCCCATCTGCGCGTCCAGCGCCGCCCCTGGCGCTCTCCGCACGCCAGGGAGAGGAGGTCCGGCGCCGGTCCGAGAAATCCGCGCGGACCTCCAACGTGTTGATGCTCATGCCTCATGCCGAGTTCTGCTCCTCTGATCACCGCACCTTCGCGCTCCGCGGGCTTCGGGGAGAATGGCATACCGACGCCGACGCCCCCCCCGCCTCCCCCTCCTCCCCACTCCCCCCTGTTTTCGCCTTCTTCTTGGAGCTTCGTGGGAGGCTGGCGGAGAGGAATCGGAGGGACGCCCATGATATCAAGTCGGGCTGTCTCTACAGGAGGAATATTCAAAAATTGACAAAAAATAGTCTGGGGACGATGTTTCGACCATTTTTTTGCATGTTTTGAAAATTGTTTTTGACTGTTGATTATTTTTCGCCCCAAATCCTTCTGTAGGGGGACACGCCCGACCTAACAATAATACACCACCACCAGCCCTGGCCAGGTCGATCCTGGGCTTGGCCAGGGTTGGTGGCGGTGTATTGTTTGAAAGCTCTCCTTTGGAAGGGGGGGTGCTCGTCGACGTGGCCAGATTCGCCCTTGGAGCCCTGGTCAGAGCTTCACGCTGGGGAAGCTCCTTGGCATGGCGGCACAGTCAACCCGCATAGCAAGGACAGGCAACTTTCCAAGGTTCCCCTTGGCCAAAATTTGGGCTTGACTTCCCCCAGTAGAGGCGCCCCGCAGGGTCGTTCTTCTCCAGAAGGGCGGCGCAGGATGATGAGACACGGCGACGCGCAGAGGGGGTGGGCCGGCCTGACGAGAAGGCGAGGGGAAGCTTCTCGTGCAGAGTCGACCCGCACAGTTGTGCTGGGGCCACGAAGCGTGCGAGGGGTGTGCCGAAATGGGTGGCGGGCACGCATGCGGGCTGCGCCACTGGGACCTTCGGTGGAGCTCCCTATGGGGCCAGGAAGCGTACGAGGGGTGTGCCGACATGGGTGGCGGGGACGCATGCGGGCTGCGCCACGGGGCCCTCGGTGGAGCTTCCATGGGGGTCACGAAATGTATAAGGGGTGTGCCGAAACAGAGGCATGCGGAGGGCAGAGGCACGGACGGGAGGAGGGAGGAGGAGAGGAGAGGAGAGGAGAGGAGAGGAGAGGAGTGGAGAGGGGAGAGGAGGAGAGGGGAGGAGAGGAGAGTAGAGGAGAGGAGAGCAGAGCAGAGCAGAGGAGAGGAGGACGCGGGGCGCTGTCTCTTCAAAACGAGGAACGAGGACCCAGCACCACAGGATGGTTGGGAAACAATTTCGGGAAATCCATGATTTGAACCTCCTCGAGGGTCCTCTTGGGAAGGCTATTGGGGCTCTCGTGGGGCGTCTCGAAGTCGTCTTCGGCCTTTGTGGGGGGCATCTTGGGCATCTTGGACCGATCGTGCGGCGACCCGCGGCACCCTCGGACCGTCTGGGCGGCCTCTGGGGACCTTCTTGGCCCCGACAGAGTCGTGCGCCACCACTTGGGTGAGTCCAGAGGGCACGCGGAAGGAGAACCCTCTGAGGTTTAAGAGCTACGGAGCCGGGCCCCTCGAAGAATCCTCAGGATTGAGGACTGCGGCGTAAGGGATTAGGCCAAGAACTTGAGGACACGCCAGCTCGTACCTCAGGCAGTAAAAACAGGAAAACCGTATCATGACGACAGACCCAACCCTTGCGCAACGCGTGACCAAAATAGCTGGGTAGACATTATAAGGGGGTACTGACGTTGTAAAGGTATAGTTGTTCTGCGAACGTTACGTGAGGGGCTCGCGAGCTGCGCGACTCGCAAGCCATCGATCGATAGACAGGGGTTCGATGGAATGTGATAAAGTAGTTAGTTCCTTGGGTCGAAGGGAAAGAAAGGCAAGGACGTATTGGGGAGAGGGGGGATGGGGAGCTCGAAACATCAGTAGGAGGGGCCCAGAAACCCTCGGAAGTGGTGACAGCAACGCAGATCGCAGCCCCCCCCAGGCACGGCGAGGTCTAATCTGCATCTGGGTCGGGCCTCGGGCCCCCACCATGTTGGCCCCCCAGCAGCCCTCGAAAATGGCGACAGTTTCGCAGATCGCAGCCTCCCAGCGATGGCGAGGTTTACTGCGAGTCTGGGTATGACCCCACGTTGCTGGCCCCCCCAGCAGCCTTCGAAAGCAGCGACAGGTTCGCAGATAGGGGTGGCGAGGTCGAATCTGAGTCTGGGTATGGCCCCACGTTGCTGGCCCCCAAAGCAGCCCTCGAAAGTGGCGTCAGTGCGTCGCAGGCCACAGCCCCCCAGAGGCGGCGAGGTCCAATCTGAGCCCAGGCACGACCCCACTGCGCCCCCCCCAGCAACCCTCGAAAGTGGCGACAGCTTCGCAGATCGCACCCCCCCCCAGGGATGGCGAGGTCGAATCTGAGTCTGGGTATGGCCCCACTGCGCTGGCCCCCCAAAGCAGCCCTCGAAGGTGGCGACAGTTTGGCAAATCGCAGAACTCCCAGGTGTGGCGAGGTTTATTATGAGTCTGGTCATGCCCCAAAGTGCGTTGGCCCCTCCAGCAGCCCTCGAAAGCGGCGACAGCTTCGCAGATCGCAGCTACCCAGTCGAGGCGAGGTCCAATCTGAGCGTGGGTGTATGGCCCCACTGCGCTGCACAACCAGCTGCCGTCGAAGGTGGCGTCAGTTTCGCAGATCGCAGCCCCCCAGGGGAGGCGAGGTCCAATCTGAGTCCGCGTACAGCGACACTGTGCGCCCCCCCCCCCAGCGGCCGCCGAAAGTGGCGACAGTTTCGCAGATCGCAGCCCCCCAAGGATGGCGAGCTCGGAGGCAGGTACGCGAGAGGTACGAAACAAGAGGAGAGAGAGAGAGAGAGAGAGAGAGAACAAAAAAGAGAGAGAGAGAGAGAGAGAGAGAGAGAGAAAGACAGAGAAGGAGAAGGGGGGCGAGAAGGAAGGAAGGAAGGACGCGACCACAGCGTTCGATTCAAAACGAGAACCCAACAACGGAGCGTTGAAAACAAAAACAGCAACAAAAATATCGACGGAGCCCAGCGGCCTGACACGAGAGACAAACGACGGACGACAGACGAGGACGACGGGAAAATGGCGCGGATGGGAGGAGGGCGAGGGGAGGGCGGGAGGGAGGTAGGGCCCTCAGGGCACGGTGGCGGATAAGCACGATGTTGCTCCCAGCCATCCCATGGGCTCGCGGATCCCCGCTCTCCTTCCACAGCGCCGCGGTCCACGCTTCCTCCTCATCCGTCCCCTCTCTTTCAGTGCTGTGTCCACTCCGGCACACCTGTCTCGGAGATCGTGCCCCACAGGGAGATCCACCTTCAGCCCAAGTGGGGCGTTCCTACAGCGTCGGCGTCTTCATGCCAGCACACCCCCTTCAAGCCCCGCGGTGGAGGTCTTACAGCGTCGGCGCGCCATTTCACCACACCCCTTCCACGGATCATGCCCCATGGGGGGAGCCCCATTTGCACGGCGCCCAAAGGGGATTCGCATGGCGTCGCCGCGCCCATGTCGGCACATCTTTCGAACGGATCGTGCCCCATACGGCGCTCCACCGCCCACCTCGGGCCCCATTGGATAGGGAGTTGGCAGCAAAGCGTCGCCGCGTCGCCACGGGTCGTGCCACGTGGGGAGCTCCTACGACCCCAGCGGAGAAGTTCACATGGCGTCGCCGCGCCCATCTCGGCACACCCCTCACATGGTTCGTTCGCCGTTGGGAGCTCCGGCTGCTTCCTTCCATCCCTCTCGCGCCGCGCCGGACATGAGAAGAGGGCGACCCCTTGCACAACTCACAGCAGCCGAGGATTGAGTCCTTCGCTAGGCCAGTTGTTCGATTGCGCGTTGCGATAGATGTGATCCTTGCCTCGTCGATCCATCATGTGTGACTCAACCACCTCATCGTGCGCTCTTTCCCTCTCTCCACCTTCTCCCTCCTCCTCCTCCTCCTCCTCCTCCTCCTCGTCCTACTCCTCGTCCTCCTCCTCGTCCTCCTCTTCCTCCTCTTCCTCCTCCTCCTCCTCCTCCTCCTCCTCCTCCTGCTCGTTCTCTTCCTCCTCCTCCTCCTCCTCCTCCTCCTCCTCCTTCTCCTCCTCCTTTTCCTCCTCCTCCTCCTCCTCCTCTTCCTCCTCCTCCTCCTCCTCCTGCTCCTTCCGTAGCCATTTGGGCTCAAGGTGTTTTCCTGGGGGGTTGTTCAGCCCCCAGGCAGAGCGGATTGCACTAGTCCGTGCAGAGACCTCGAACGTTCTCCAGCTGGTCCGCCCCAGGTGTGGAGCTCGGTGCCTGCGCATCGAGCCGCAGCCGCTTCTCAGCGGGCAGCATGGCGCCTCCTCCTCGCGGCGGCGGCGGCGCTCCTTGGCGTGCTGGCGACGGCTGGAATTGCGGCGCCTGCGGCTACTTCAACTTCGGGGACCGCAAGAAGTGCAGGCAGGCGAGCCGCAGGGGCTGCCGTTCAGGGCTTTGGGGGCCTCCGGCGGCAGCTGAGGATCCTGCTCATCGCCTGCCTCCTGGTGCCGCGTGACTTCG